TTTGGTCAAAATAAATCTTGCAAAACTACTGGGCTTCTGCATCATCTTTCAGGTGTCTTTTCTTGTCTTTTCCTCTTTGTAGAAAAAAAAAAACTTTGCACTCCACACAGGTCCACCACCGGCAAGTGTTGATAGTGTTTCCAGCTCCTCCACATTTCAGTAGCCTCTTCTTGCTGAGCTTATTCAACACAGTGACTCTTCTTTCTCTTTTCATACTCTTCTTTTAATTGTGAATTCACATCTCTAACTGGATAAAAGTGAATGGATTCATCTCCCTTTTGAAAGGGATTAAAAATGAAAAATGCATCATAATACAAGGCAGTAGGACTTCGGAAGGTTGAGCGCTTGCAGCTGAATTTCAGAAAGGAGGTAAATGAGAGCTAGTTCACCTCTCTTGTTGGTGCTGTGATGCTGCTTGCACTGACAGAATACGTTGGGCTGTAAGAAGCTGTGTTTCTGTTGGGCACGCACCGTTGTTCTGCCAGCTTCCTGTGGGAGTTATGGGGGAGTACAGTCTGGAAAATATTATGGGGAGCTGCCTAGTGTGTTATCTGGCCTGCAGAGAATGGATGCTGCTTCCCATCAAATCCATTCAGTGCTTTCTTGTAAGTCAATTCTACTTGGGTATCTTCTTTCTATTGGTAAACACCCTTCTGGAGGCAGCCAGGTGTAGATTTAGCTGAGTTTAGAGAATTAGGATTTCGAGTCTAAAGTGCAATCATGCAGTACTTATGCAGACAAAATCCGTATTTGCCCACAAAATGATTTGTTGAGCCATCAGTAAACACTTGGGTCCTCTTATCTTGCTTCTACTGCAGTCACACAAGGAAAGTAAGTCATTCATATTTAAGTGTGGTGCCCTGAAGATTCACTTGATACCGTTAATATGGATTAGGAGGTCTTTGAGTCATCCTGTATCTCTTTCCTTTAGTCTGTAAATCATTAATCCTTGCTTTACTGGCTACTGGGCCACTTGGTGCCGCTTGGCTCGTAGATTATGTGCACTAAATGTTAAGAATGTTAACCAACAAGTTAGAAGAAGAATATTCAGAAACTAGCATAGAAGAGGGCAGTAGGTGTAGGAACACCATGTCTGTTAAATAAAAAACACAAGATGCATACTAATCTTGTTTGATAGCACTTAACCAGTGTTTTCATATAAAACTCCCTGATAGGAACAGGATGGGGACCTATTGTGTTGTGAAGTCCTGTCCTCTGTCATAAGCAGCTATGTATATATTCCCTTTAAAAGCCGATCAAACTCAGTCTAAAGCAGTTGTTTCCCACCTCTGCTGCTGCTCTTGGGAGTCTGACCTGCAATTTCATTTCTGTAATGGTTTTCAGACATCTGGTTTCCATCCTGCCTGATTTTTAGGACTCATTTCCGTGCCAGCATTGTTCATCAGCTTAATGAGAGCCTACCTCTTCCTAAGGTTCTTCGCTCTAACTCATTTTTAAAGACCAGTTGTTTTGTTGGATTGGATAAGCCAAGATCTTTGTTTCGCTTCATGCAAGAGGTTTTTTATAATTTGCTATCCATAGTGGTTTTTCTGCCTAGGAAGCTACGAAAACTGGGCTGCATGGCCTGCCTATCTTCATTGGCTTTTTGGTTAATGTTTTTGTGGTTTAATTCAGGTGCACTCCCAGTGTATCTTATGTCTTGAGTACATTTAATTCGAAGATCTTACCAAAAAAAAAAGCTTTTTCTCCTTATCGTGTAAGGGAGCTCTGTACAAAGGAATGTTAGCAACCACGTGTCCATTGTCATTCCTTTCCCTGCCCTCATCTGTTTCTCACCCACCCTTCAAATAAGCAAAACAGCTCCTGGGCTCAGTGATGTGCCAAGAGTGCAAGTAGCAGAGAGAAGAGCTTCGGGGAATAGACTCCTGGTATGTGTTGTCAAGTCAATGAAAGACCACAGATGGACATGGAGGGTTCTCGGCTGAACCAGGAGGAGGAGGGGCCATATGGGATGATCTGTCTGAAAACTGAAATTACATTATAATAATAACAGCTCAGAAATCACAAGCTTGCAGGAGCTGCCAGTATGGATACGAGAGGACCATGTAACTGTATGTTTTGCTACTAGCAAGTAATTGTCTGGAAACAGATGTGCTAGACTGGAGGAATGGATTTTCTTTTCCTTATTTATTTATTTATTTTCTCCTAGGGAGGGAATAATTTTACCTTTAAAGTTGATTGATTGGTAGGTCCTTAATCCTGTTGTTTTGCTGTGTTATTTTTTTTATTTTGTTTTGTTGACATTGTTGAGTTTCAGTCAAAGATACTGCTGACTGTGGCAGAGAAATTCAGAGCACCCTCCTTTGCATGCTAGTTGAGACTTAAAGTCGCATACTCAGCATCAGTAAGTGACAAAGACCCACCTTTTAGGAATTTTCAAGTCCGTTGGAGCCTGGCAAGATGTGAGGGAAGAAAAACCACACAGAGATCTATCCATTACATGTAAAGCAATATTTGATTCCTAAGAGGGTGCAGCGAGGCAGAAGTATTCCTTTGTAATAACTTCAAAGGGACATATCCAGGATTCAGATTGACCAACATGCATTGATATGAAATATGTTGATATATAAATTGGATAAAACCTTCTTGATGCCCCATGTAGAAACTAGAATAATGGCTGACTGTACACCTATAAAGGTGAAGCTGAGAAGGTATGTTTTATTAAATTCAGTTCTGTTAAGCTCTATTAAATTGAGGTTGTGTAGGCAGAATCTTTCTCTGGATGCTGACAAATCTCTTACCTAGTGCTTTTCAAATACTCCTGCAGGACTTCAGGCCTTACCACACTCAAGCTACACTTCTGGCTAGAGCAATGTCTCTGTTTTTATGATGTCCTAAAATAAGTGAATTGAAACACATGCTTCAAACTAAGTTGTGGAGTAAATCTTAAGTGTGCTCTAGATAATGCCACTACTTGTTATGTCTCCACATGACTTGTCTTTGAACTCAGTAGAGAACAAGGCAAAAACTATGATATTAATAGCTTGTTTATGCATTTTTAATGCATTCAATTCGTTGTGGATAGCTTCATTAATGTTAAATGTGGTTCTAAATATGGATGGGTATAAGTGTTTTCTTTTGGAAACCTTTGATGGAGTCTAGCTTGCAGGCTGACCTGTTGTATTAACTTTGATTCCATTCACGCTTTCTTTCTTTTTATTGCAGGAGCTATTGTGACAATCTTGGCTACCACCCATTAAGTGCTGCTGACTTTGGAAAGATCATGAAAAATGTTTTTCCAAATATGAAGGCCCGTCGTCTAGGCACAAGAGGCAAATCAAAATATCCTTTGCTAGAACACTTCTCAGTAACGTCTTCTGCACTTGCCTGGAGAACATCTGTCATTATGGCTTAACTACCAGCTAAATGTAGAAATAATGTTAAATAAAAAAATGCAGACACTTTCCCAACATTCTTGAAAAATTATTAATTGCGGTAGTGTTAGGTTGCAAGATACAATTCCGGAAACAAGTACTTAAATTGAGATTCTGATGCTTAGTTGTCACAACAGCGAGGAATCAAAGAAGCTTTATCATTTAGGGCAAAGGGAGATACTCGAATAAAGGAACTTGCCTTATATATGTGCAGTAACTAATGTTTTATTGGTAGTACAGCTCAGAATTATCAGAACATTTCTTGCTTTTATGTTATATTTGTGCATACCAGTAATTTAAAAGTTAGTTGTAAAGCCAAAGATCCTTCTTAATCTATGCTACAAATACTTCATAAAACTGCCTCTCCTCAACCATTAGTATTGCTTGAAAGAGAAGAGGGAACCGGGAGGTCATCACAAAAGCTGACTTCAGACTTGGAAGGCATTATCCGAGCCCTGTCCTGCTGTCGGGGGGGAGACAGCTTCCTTCACTGCATGGTGCAGACCTCCTGAGATAGGAAAGAGAATTCAGAGCAAGAGCTTCTAGGGTGGGGAGCGCTGTCTCTCGCTCTCAACTGCCGAGTCCTGTTCCCTGTGCCCAAAGTTGGAATCTGCCTCCTCTCTCCTTCTCTGTGTTAGAGAAATAGTCCATCCCAGAGAGCATGCAAAAACACTACCCCATTTCATTGTAACTTAATACAAACCTTAAAGTACTTAAATTGATGTTGTCATAGTGTAACTAGACATAATTTTTACAGGCAGAACTATACACAGTTAGATCTTGGGACAGATTAGTTTATCACTTAATAGGCAGCCACTGTGAAGAATTCAGGGCAAATGCTGTGCAAAAGAGTCTGCTTAATCACTGATGGTTCTGCTGCTTCGGTGTAGGGACAAGAAGCTCTGCTAGGAAAGAAATGCGATAATCAAGTCTAAAGGCTACAAGGTTGTGAATTTTTCTCAGGCTTTTCTGAGCTGCAGTTTGTCTGGTCTTTAGCACACTGAGGTGTTAAAAAACAAAAACTGTTAGTGATTTTTCGAACTAAGTAGTTTTTTCGTCAGCAAAAATTTTGTCTTTTCCAAGTTGAGAATTACACCTTTCCTTGAGAATCCTTAGAAACCATCCTGAAGTAATGTAATACCTGCTGTGTTCCCCAGGGTCAACTCCTGGTCCCTTCTGACGTGCTGGGTAGGCTAAGCCACTGCAATAAGCAAAGCAGGCAGAGCATTAAAAGGCCAAAAGGCATCAAGGTGCTTGTAGGCTCTAATTAAAAACCACTCAAAAGAACTAGCAGTAATGATATTGACGCACTGTAATACTGGCCTTTGCCAAGGTCTCACTTGAAGCATGCACTTACAGAGAGAATTGAATGCCAACGGGCAGCCCAGAATTACTTGTCTTCCTTAGAGGAGAAAACCCTTCCATGTAGCAGTAGGTGGAGAAGTTATGTGTCAGTTAAATTGTTTCATAAAATACGGTGTTGAATTATCTAGCAGTGGAGCCCAAAAAACTTAGAAGGCATGTTCTGGATAGAGCCAGAGAAGTTTTAAGGAACAAATCATATGATGTGATTGTAGCTTGACCCAGGAGATCTATTTCAGTTCTGTTTCCTAAGTTTCTAATTCATAATGATTAAAATGTGACCTTATCTCACGCTTACCTTAATACCTAGCCTTCTTACATTTATTTTACTGTAATTACGCTCCATCCAGGTTAATGCAAGCAAATGTAAACTCCTTGGTCTAGGAAAGAGAAATACAGGCATATTTACAGAATGTGAAAAATTAGTGATGCTGAAAAGGATTTGTGTGTCACAGAGAAGAGACACTGTATGTGAACTCCCAGAGTAATGCTGTGGAGAGGAAAAAAGGCTGATTTGATTTTTAGACCTATAAACAAATGAGTAAGAGTAATGGAGGGAGTGTGTTTTTGTGTACTGATTTGATGAGATCAATGTCAGAACATATCTAGGTATTTGTGTCCATATTTTTACAGAGGAACAATTACCATGGGTGATGATAGTGAGCCACAAAAATTGTGTGGTATCTTAGGAGAAATGTCCTCATCGGTCACTTTATCTTGTCATGGGGAACTTCTTCAGCTTGTGGAAGTCTCTTAGGAGAAGGAGATGTCATGAAATTTAGCAAAAAGAGGCAAAAAAGAATTCATAATAAAGTAAAACCTACATTTGAGGGTACATTTTTTTAATAGTGATTAACTTTTGGAAATGCATTCTCCATCTTGTTTTAGGCCTGGTTTAGGAAGGGAGTCTAGTCCAAATTTGTGTTAATGATTTAAATATTGAGTAGCTAATTGAAACTACTTGGTGTGGTTGAGTGGTTCTTCTAAGCCATCAAATGAAATTCATCACACTCAGCATCCCTTGCTGCTCTGCATAGATGGAGAAACCCAGCGACCTGCCCAAGAACGCAACCATTTATGGGCTCTTGATTCTGGCTGGCTATGAGACTGTGTTAAGTAATGCTTAGATCTGTTGTTGAGTTTGCTTATAAGGGGTATCAGAGGAATTATTGCCCTTCCCTCTTATCCCCCAACTAATAAGCAGATGATCTAGACCTTAATTCTTGCTCACATATTGCTACAGTGGACTGAGGAAGAAGGCTTTTGTGCATATGCCAACACTGCCCAACCTTGACTTTCATAAAACTGGAGATGGGGTATGGTATATACTTGCTTATTGATATATATTTCTGCAAATTAACATTTGTTATGTTGTTTTTCTGTCTGAAGTTTTCAACACTTAGTTTTTAAGATTTCTCTTTACAATACTTATATTCTGATTCATTGATATTTTTCTGTAAAGTTCAGAACGAATTGCAGTGCTATTAAAAAAACTAATTTAGGAGGTGAAGCAGACTTTCACAGTGTTGCCACCCACAAGCTGTATCTTTTAAATTCTGAATCTGTTTTGGTTTTACTGTATATTTTTAAAAAAGAAAAAAACACAAAAAAAAACCAAACCAAAACAAAAAACAAACCAAGAAGTTGATG